GCGAACGAAACAGGTTTGGTCCAGTTCATGGGAACCATAGACCCAAAAAAAGAAACAACAAAGAGCCACTGGGTCGACTGAATGCAGTTGCCAGTCACACCGGCTCGCTGTTTCTGTATACGTGCTTTGTTGACCTCGACTCTAGACTTGTAGGGAATCACACTTTGATGGTCTCTCCGTCTCTCGCACTAGCCGCCTACTGGAGACCTATGCTTTGGACGTGGATGCATGACTCGACGTCCGCCGTTGGAAGTGTCAGTCGCCCCATGTGAACCGGACCTAGCCGGACAGGACCTGCACACATTCATGGCAACTCACCAACATCAACTGCCTATGACTGAAGCCTATCATCCAGATTTCCTTGCAAATCCGTAGTCGTCCCAAATCTCTTTGCAAATCCTTGATCTGGTCAAAGGTCTTTGAAATCCCCTACTCTTCCCAAATGTCTCTAAAAGCTTCGATAAGCAAAAGCAAAAGCAAGGAAAATGAAAGGATCATGATCAAAGCCGGCGATTGTGGCCCATTGACAACACCACCAAGCCCACATGCCATCAACCTGCTTGCTGCGCACATGTTTGCATGTGTTTTTCAATCCAGCTGGTGGTAAAATATGTGCATAAGGACTTCACAGGACGTCGTTTTTTCTAAAACATAGATGCCATTAAATGCCATCTATGTGTGCCAGGATCTAATAGAGTCTAGCTGTTTGATGGCATTTCTATTGTTGAGCCGGCTCTCGATGCATCAAAATGACCGTAATTCACGCCGTATGTAAGATATGACGTCGAGATGGTGAGATGACCGGAATGCCAGGTGCTGCGGTCGAACTACTTCATGTGGCATGTGTTTTCACGGCGAGCAACCCAAACGACTGCCTTTCAACACTCGGGCGGGGAAAGGGCGCGGCGGAGAGACGAAACGGATAAATTTTGGTGATTCGGGGCGGGCGGGTTCAATTTCAGTGCAAGCTGAGGAAATGAGCAACAAAGGCATGCAACTCTGAGCTGTTGGCTGAGGGACCTAGGTTGCCGGAACACTCTGAGCTGTCTCAGTAAGACTGTTGCATCGTGTGAATTTCTGCTACGTGGGCACCGTGGGCTGATGTCCAAAACTCAGTGCTGATTTTGGGAGCCATAACGCATAGGCTCCAAGTACAGCCTGCGCATATGCATAGGTAGTGCACTCCTATGTGGGGTTTCCAGGTGTATCTGTACGACTCTACTTACAGTAGATTCTCTATGATTCTTTATTATGCCATTTAAAGTACATCTTTCTGGGAGGAAACATGTCAGGTTCTCATACGATCCCATACACCCGTGTTGACCTTCATGGCCGGTGTCGGCGTTGCTTTAGCCGTGTTCGCCAAGATTCTCCCAAGGCCGACAACTCTCCCACGGCTTCAAATCAGAGCCGTTGGAGACCTGGGCCAAAGATTGAAAACATGGTGTCGAGTCGAGTGTGCTTTTCTTCGTGTGATAGAATCATATCACCCAAACACTCCATGTATGGCATATTTACCTACATTGACCCCTGAAGCCACCCCAATGTAGGGGCATACATGGAGTGTCTGGGTCATATCTAATTATCGATCATTAGTCTCATTTCTGAAATGATTAGTTTTCATGGGAGAAGGATGGCGAGGGAATGGGTGGAACGCCGTGTGGCAGTGGGCAAGTTCACCCTGTAGCCACATTGGTCATCACTTAGCAATTCAAGGAGATCTGATATGCTATGATATGCTTACTTATTCTTCTTACTTCAGAATGAGAACCTTCATAATTGGTGCTTCATTCATGATAGAATACAATAGTTAATTATACTTGTATATATATATATACAATGTATCTCCCCACGGAATCCTCATAGCAAACAGGTGGTGAACTCCACTTCCATGACTTGTCGACCTTCGGGTCCCTGTCGCCTCCCGCGAGAAAGGCCGCAACTCCAAGTTCATGCTCGTCAGCCCAGCTCCAAAGCCTCCAAACCGCTTGGGCGCCTGGGAGGAAGCGGCTACGGGGCGGTTTGGCCAAGCTGTGGATTTCGGCCGTGTGTGCCTGTTTGGAATGAACACATGGACGGTTTATAGGTCTGCTCAAAGTGAAACAAGACCCACCATGCGAAATCCACTGATTCACGTCCCATGCAGATTGGCATGATCGAGCACATGGACATGCGCCACATGAGAACCCTCTATCCGTCGGATCCCATGTCTGGCCTCCATCATGGCCATGCAGCGCTTGAGCGCCTGTTCAGTGGCCTTTGCCACAACGGCCTCCAAGCCCTGCAAAGGATTTTGGCTGGTGAAAAAATACGAGTCAGTGACAATCAATCTGTTCAATCATCCCAACTGCAAGTAACGGTTGAAAACCACATATATAAACTATATAACAGTACCATAATACAGTATATAGAATCTATGTCTGAAACCACCACATCCGGGATGGACTGCACCGGTGCGTACCGGACTCCGTCTCTCGCGGAGGGATCTGATGATCCGATGGATGTTGGTGGCAGCCTCCTTGAGCTCACTCATGTCATGCAACACGAAGAAGGCCGAGACAGCTGTGCGATGTTGTGACAAGACATGGTGTTCTGTGGCTCCCTTCAAATGATTGGTCAGTGAATTGTCACATGGTTTGTCTCGGAGAGGACACATAAGGAAATGGCCTGGACTTCGACTGTGACCTGAGTTCGACTACCAGACTGGAACCTGTGCAGGTTTGGAAACACACCTCAAGCAAACCTTTTTTTTTTTCCGAAGCAATATCAACCTGTACTCACACCAAACCGCACAAAATGCCACAACACGCACATAGTGCGACAAAGTCCTGCTGCTTATCACCCCATTCACCCCATGTCATCCCCAAAAACACTCCCTAATCATGCCACAAAACACGTGAAATCCACACCTGGTGGTCTGGTGAAGCCCGAAACTCACGTCCCTCCGTCACAGAACACACCGATTCACGTTCACGTCACCTCTAAAGCTTCCCCCAAAGGCGGCATCAATGGGCTGCTGGTCGCCCTCGGCCCCTCTTTCGACCCGCCATTGGAAGCGATCGGGCTTGGAGGCGGCTCCTGGGGCCGAAGATGAGGCAAAGAGCCCTTGTGCGATCCAACGTCCCTGCTAAGCCTCCATCTAAGCCTCCATTCCCCAACTCTCGGCCAGAGGCGGTGCTTTCATTCCCAACAACGGCATACCACTAGAGTTGTGATCTTGGATTCCACATGATCATGAAGATCCACCAAAACAACCCGGAGTGAATGAATGGACCTCACAAACGCATGTCACACTCTGGGAGCGGTCCTTGAGTTCCACGGACATGTCGGGTTGAAGCTGTTTCGAGCTGGTGACCTGCGCGTTTTCTGCCACGAAATCTATCCGCGCTGCAGGATCCAATTAAACCAGGGATCCAGTGTCTCTCTGCCCCCCCCGCTCTCTCTCTCTCTCTCTCTCTGTGGCCGCTCTTCAGCCACCATGAACTCCTGAGGGTGAAAAAAACATTGAAAAAACATGGTGAGTCAAGCCACCCACAAATTAATATGATGTAGTAATCATATCAATTACGCTGATCTTACTGTAACCCCCTCATAACCCCTGAAGGATCCCATCGGTGTCTCAAACCGAGTCCTGCCGGCTTCCATTCGTTCCTCCTCCACCCTGTGGCGCCACCCAGCCACCATCCTCACCATCCTCCAGCCTTATGAGCTGCAAGAAGACTTGACAACGAGCTCTTGGAGGCATTGGGCTCCTCGACGATGCCATCTTGTTGCACCGGCACCGCCTCCGCGTGCTTCTCCACCGACCCACCCGACTCCTCCAGGTGGAGGGGGTGAAGCGGCTCATCCTCGTCGAAGAGCCCGTCCTGGGCCAGGAGGTGGTCGAGGCCCCGGGCCAGGAGGTCGATACGCTGGGCCAAAGCTTGGAAGCTCTCCATATTCAACTTGAAGAGATCGTCCTGACAGTCAAAAACGCAGCAAAAAGAGATGAAGGAGGGAGAATGCTGAGCGCTGGACGGGTGAGGTGCTGCGGGTGTACGAGGAGATTTTCAGAGATCTTAGCGGCAGGTATGGTGTCAATTGAAAGCGGCCTTCTAGAACACGGATGAGGATCCTCAAGAGCCCTCGGACTTCCGCACACGGGGGACCAAATGAGTCAGGGGCATCGCTGGAGCGAACGTCGCTGTAGTTTTTGGTCATGCAGCGCTCTTCGGGTTCACTACAGCATCACTCCTTTTGACTGTTTTCTGCTTCCACGACCTATAACCCAGACACTCCATGTATGCCATATATGCCTACATTGGGGTGGTTTCAGGGGTCAATGTAGGTAAATATGCCAGTCCCATGGAGTGTTTGGGTGATATGTCTTCCGCTTCCATCCAAACGGTGCACCGATGCGTTGCGCTTCCGGTGTCGGTCCGAAACCGGCCACGGCCTGCCACTCGAAGGCGGGTTCAGAATCGCCAGAGTTGCCATCGATGTGATCGGTTTTTTCGCTCTCGTTTTCGACCACCATGTGCTTTGAAGGGGGCCCTGAACCAGTTGGGGCACGGACAAACTTCAAGCCACCAGGGGATTCAAAGCAGTACCCACATCATCATCAAAAAACAAACGTGACCATTCAACAGCCACGTCGAATGTCGTAGATGAATGGAGTGAGTTCGGATGTTCGGCATTGGTTGTTATGTTTGTCATTGTTTGTCTGCCTGTGGGAACGCCGGCAGGGCTTGTCCACCTTCTTACGAGCCTTCTCCAGCTATACGGTGTTCGAATGTCGTGAAGGAATGCAGCACGGGGGAGGAGCTTGGACACGAATCGACAATCCAAACCAGGACACCCGTTCAGGCGTGAAAATTGGTGGCTACCCGGGTGTCTATGAACCACCCCTCAGGGTCCAAACAACACTCCTTGGGCATTGGGGTCTCCTGCTAAATGAATTCAACGAGTCAACCAACAAACCCAGAACCTGAGCAAACCAGGCACAATGATTCTGCGTGTGATCACTGTTTGACCGTCTCCTGCATTTGCAAAGCCCGCTGCATGTTGTACTTGACGAAGCGGGGTGCCGTTTTGGAGTCGTGCACCCAGCGCGACAAGGCAGCGATGAACTCTTCGCTCTTGATCTCACCCTCGCCTGTGATGTCGATCATGTCGAAGAGCTGCTGCAAGTCCGACTCATCCTGAAAACATGGAACGGTTCTGAGTTCTGAGTGTGGTTCGTCTAGCAAGGTTGCAGCTATGGTCAGTCATGAGCAAGGAGTGACTGGCAGCAAAAACGATGTTAGTTCCATATGCCAACACGTTTCTTGTGTTGCCAAGCGCCTGACCAGTACAGCATCGACAGCATCTGATTAACCCGTGCTTCTCGATGAGGCTACAAAATTGAAACACTGCTGATTTACTTTGATTTTTCCCCGATTCCAGTGAATGGGATGCCGGTCGGGCCCTTCCGGAAATAACTAATCATAGTGTTACATATTATATGTTTGACAAAAAACACTGTGGGGAGGGCCAACTGACTTGGGAGGAACTCATGTCTGAACCAACCTGGTGCACAATCTCAGCAAACATCTCCCCCCCGAAGTATCATAACAGGGATGGCACAACTAAAACGAACGTTTTTGCACGTCATGTGTTCCTGAAAAGGCCCCCCCCGAGCAAACCCGGAATTCCACGACCAACGAGGCGTAACCGGCAAGTTCCGCCAAAGATCGATGTCCATGACCCGCAATCTGCTTTGGAACTCCTGATCAGCACGCGCTCCCTCGACCAGCTCTTCGAAGGTCACGATGCCACTCCCGTCCTGGTCCATTCGATCGAAAATCCTCAGACTTCGTGCCAAGGTTACGTGGGGCACGCGTGCCGCATGGTCTCTGGGAGGTCAAGAATGGACACAAAAGCACACACACAAACACCCACGGAGAATCCTATCAGGAATCCAAGTATTCCGAATGAATCTCCGTGGCCTGAGTCGTGGCCCAAAAGCGATCGGCGCATCAAAAATCCGGCAACAAATTTATGCGGCCGAGGAGCTTCTGCAGGCGCCTCCGGTCGCTCATGAAATCCATCTCCAATTCTTCTGCCAAATTCATCACATCTCTCTGGCGAGCTTCAGCAAAGGTATCTACAACCACCTCAAAGAACTTAGAGATGCACGTTGGGAGCGGAGCGAACACAAAGCCACGTTCAAACATATCCGAAATCTGGAACATTCGATGGAAAAATCTGGAACCTACTGTGCTTCGAGCAATCCCCACCCGCCGCGGTACACTCGCAAGAAAACTGGGCGAGGTGTCCCTTGGCCACGATGTGTTGTAGTTGCGGTTGGCGCTGCCGATATATAGGGCTGAAATACCCCCACCAAAGAGTTTGGTCGGCTTGGGCTCTTGCATTATTAAAAGCGCCTGTCAATATACTTCCTACCCTCTTGACTTTTTTGACGCATGCATGCCCCCAATATGTTTGGTCAGGTGCAATTTTTCCGACGCCCCCCCAGTTAGTTGAGCTTCTTCCTTACACCCCTTTAATTCCACAAATCCCTCGTCCTATGGTCTTTTGGTCGTGCAGTGCCTCTTTAAACAATGTTCCAACATTCCTTTACTTGCGCAAATCCCTCATCCCATAAGCCTATAACCTGTCTCCATTTCAATTCCAGCGGCCCTTTTCCTGACGCTGGCTCATTTTTGACTGGTTCATGCCTTTGGCAGGGCCCACCAAGTGAAGCGCATAGCCAAATTTGCTTATATGTGAAGCAAAGGTCTCATCCGACCAGGAGACTATGCAGGCCCACTCATTGCCCATCTTCTCTCCGGTCAATGCGAACTTATGGGCGCCCTTCCCTTCCCAAATCTTTTCCCTTCTTTCCCCATCCAATACACTGCGAGCTTTTTTGCGGGTCTTTGGTACCTCCGAGAATGCCAACCCCTCCCCGTGGGTAGTGGAAAGAATGTCAACCACCCAATAAGCTTCCCACATCCTTTCCAGTAAGGTCCGCCTTAAGCTTCTCCAGATCCTTCGTCATAGAGACTCCACCACATAGGTCCTTGATGGTCCTTGCCTTCACGTTCTTATGATTCTTTCCACGGCGCTGCCGTCTTTTCCGCCGCGTTTGCGTAAGTCAACGTCCATGACTAAGAACATGCAGTCACCGGCCAAGAAGGCCTCAGCTTCATCCTGCTCGTCCCAATTGAAATAGCCTGATGCATGCACCTTCCCCTTCTCATCCATCCTCATTTGCTTCAATTGCTCATGCAGTTCCTTCCTGATGTACTTCAACACTCTCATAGCAGACTCTGATCTCATAAACTGCATTCTTGAACCATGAAGCCTCACTTTTGCAGCCAAATATGGGGTCCTGATCATCCCACAACATGGTTCCCCACAGTGCTGTTCATAATCTTGGGGATCCCTCCTCATGAAGAGATTTAGTCTCGGTGACCTCTCCTGATTGACCACCAAAAATTAGAGAAGCATCCGACGAGGTTGGTTCTGCTCGGCTTGTTTCACAAGCTAAGGCAGCTATGTGTTCTTCGGGCCCCTTCGAACCCGAATGGGTTTGTGGAACGTGCCGCGGACTTCAGCCGACAGTCGTTGGTTGGAAGGCGCATTTGGTCAAAACTGCCTTCAGCCTCCCGTGAAGAGACCACGTCTGTGCGGAAAACGCATCGCACTTCCGGACGAGACCACGATGATCAGGCTCTGGCTTTTGACCGCAACTCGGCCCACCAGAACGCCGGCCACGGGAGGTGTTGTATGTGTCATTGCTTGTCTGTTGTTTGTTGGTGCCACTGTCTGTTGTATTTGTCACGGCTTCTGGTCTGTCGCCGAGTCGCCCCATCCCGTCATTGCACTGGGTGACGCGCTGCAGCAAAGGTCGAGAAGGTGGGTTGTCTATCTGAAATCTAGCTCCCCTATCCTGTCTGGTGGGGACAAGCATGTGGGTTTAGACCAGTTCAGGGGTTAATCCTGCTTTGGAAAAGCGATGTTGTGAACAACCCCCCAGGCATTCTGGTTGTTAAAGAACAATGAAGAAAAAGCAGAAACGCGAGTCAAGAAACAGACAGAAAAAAGCAGCAGGTAGAAGAAGAAAAGGAAGAATTGCAAAAGAAGAACCAGGATAAAGAAGCAGCAATAAGAAGAAAAAGGAGGACAAACGACGACGATGAAAACAGACAAAGAAGAAGCAAAAGACACACATCACACAACACCCTAGGTTTCCATTCCCTAGGGATCCAGTCGTAGCTTCTCAGAAGGTGATGTGTTCGACACTGTTATGTAGGTTTGGAGGGTCCGGTCCAAGTTGGATCCCTAGGGGATTGAGACACCCCAACAAATTTGCAGGGTGTGGGTATGCAGGGTGCACACCACATACGTACCATGGTGCACGTAGAGCGACACAGCTGATTGCATGCCAGGCCAGATGTATGCCAGATGAGCCTGAGTGACCTGTTTTATTCAAGAACCAACCACCCAAAATATGGTCGCTCCGCCCCTGGAAGACCATTTCCATCATTTCCTCTACAAGGGGGTCCTGGTCAGATTCGATTGTTGGAGGGGCTCCCCTTCAATCCTCCCGGCCCTTGTCTTCGTCAAGCATCTGCCACGATGAGATTTAGGACCCCGAAGACTAAGGTCAACAAGCTGCCCATGAAAATAATCGCAGTGGAGGGGTACTCCTTGATCACCGGAACGGCAAGCTCTCCCCAACTATCACCTGCGAAAGAGAGGTTGAGCAGTGAATGGCAGCAGCTGAGCAAGACAGCTGAGCAGCTGAGCAGGGAAAGTGGCTTCTCTGGGCAATCACATGGGTTCCACCCATTTAAAGCTTCTGCGAGCTTGCTGGTGCGTATCACGCAAACCCAAAAAAAACACATGAGTTCCACCTCTTTCTTTCCACTTCCACAAGACACAGAAGGTATCCACCTCCAAAGGAACTAAAGGCAACAATCCCAAGAGTCAAAGAACAGCTCAGGAAAAGATTGCTGAAAAGCTAACGGCGAGATCACCGGCAATAACCGTCTTGAACAAGAGTAGGTTCCTCAGTGGCGGAGTCAACAAGAAGTTCATCACCCGGCATCACCCTGCTAACCGCAAACCCAACCTGGCAGCTCGAAAACATGCCCAAAAAAGGTCACATGGGTGCTCAGCACTCCACTATGGCCCTAATCAGATTCCTTGCATCAAAACTGGCTGTTTAGGGATCATTCAGTGGTTGGGTCCGGGGGGCTCCAGGTTGTGGGCCGAAAACAAACCCTGCATGTTTCACACAAAACGACCTTGGAGGGGGGGTGTCCATTCCTGATCATACATCCCCTATGGGGGTGCTTTGGTCCATCTTTTTCCTCACGCTTGGGGAGATACCAAGTCTCGTGTGATGTCTTCAGCACGTTGTTTCGGTCTCTCGTTCTCCCTTTTTGCGAAGACATCCCGACCGTCGCCGATCGTTCCTTCGATCGTTCCTTCGATGTCCGAGCAGCGCATCCATCACCGACGAGGTTGCCGTGATGCAATACTCCGCACCTTGGCGAAACAAATTTCACATGTTTTAACTTTGGGTCTATTACCAGGGCCCAGTGGATGATGGTTAGGTTCCAGGCCGATCATTCTTTACTGACTGTTACAGGTAATAGTACAAACCAAATTTTACGGCTTTATATGGTTTAGTTAGAAATTCTAGACGATGGTTTGGGTCTGGTTGAGTACACTCCAAGGCACTGCAGTCTTGCAGCTCGCCAGCGGAATGCAACTCCTCGCCGGTGAGCATGGGGAAACCACCAACCACCAGCTCTACTTTTGGACAGCGAGGGTCAAAGAGTAAGTACATCAAAACATGACACCTTGCTAAGACACTTGGTTGTAATACGTCCTGGTAATATAATCTCTTGTGAGGTTTCCCCAAGCATCTTCAAACTGTGAAAAACACAATCATGACCGGCCAAAGGAGGGATTCGTGGCAAGTGTCGCAAGAATATTGGCCTTGGAAGAGCAAAGCTCGGCCGTTTGCTCAAAACGATAGGTTACCAATCTAAGTTACGCCAACCCATTCATCCAGCTTGCATTTGAGAAAAAAAACTCACATCAAAAAGGATCAAAGAGGCCGACTCTAACATCCTCATCATCGTGTGACCCATTACAGAAAGGACCAGTGTGGTACCCATCCGACTGCCGAAAAAAAAAAAATAAAAGAAGAACACACCGTCGGCACATCTTGACACCCCACAGAAGTCTGGTCCGACCTCGTGACACCCATACTGACACCGCACGGCCGCACGGCCGGACCGGGTCTCCTGGACAAGGGGGTTGATGACCTCGACAATCAGCATCGCCCAAACCTGGCGTTCGACCGCAAAGGTGACCAGTGGGCCCGAAGCAAACCATGAAGAATCAAGGTGTTCACACACCAAAACCAGGTTTTCACTGGGTTTTCCCAGGTGTTTGGGTTGTTGGTGAGCCCATGGTTACCATATCTAGTCGTCAATTCGACCAACAGTTCCTGGGGAGCCGAACCGAGTCCGTGGGCTGGAACCTGTGTCGAGTCGCCCTTCCTTCACACCTCGATCTAGCCTATAGGAGGGTCTATCAAGTGGCACGGGTGCAGGCGCAGCTGACTTCCTTGATGCGCGCAGCTGGCTGCACGCCAACATCTCTTTCCCAATCCCTATAAGGATCCAGTCGTATCTTCTCAGAAGGTGATTGGAGACAGTGTTATGTAGGTTTGAAGGTCGCAGTGCCTTCTGAGGGTACTTTCCTGGATCCCTCGTGATCTAAGCACTTCCTCATAGACCGGCCGGTACAGCCGATGTCGCACATCCCGGCACATCCACGCGTACCGGCGCCACTGAGGTTGTGGAGGGCCGAAGAAACACGACATGGCTATCACAGGACATATAGGACTTGCACTGGTTCCAGTCAAGCGAAAAAGAACAACCACAAACGCAAACTTCGATTCCACGGTCCTGCTCTTTCTGACACTTTCGCGGGGTTGCATGATGGGGCATGCTCCAAACATGAGAAGACCATAGAAGACCTGAAACACCTGGCAGGTGGAAGGACGACTTCTCCTTGCTTTCGTGACCCCGACCAGGTCGTCGCCCAAACCAGACCCGGCACTCCGTGCGTGCACCGGTGTCTGTTCCGGTGTCGTCCGTTCCGCCCAGGCGCTGTCATGCAAACAAAGCAAAACCTCGGCAGCGACACGGACCAGGTCGGTCACGGACCAGGTCGGGCCGTGATGGGCCGTGTGACCGGCCGGATGAGGACAGCACGTGAGGATAGCACAGGTCGGATAGTCAGGACATCTATGAATGGTGAGAGGATCATGTACTTCGTCATATATGCCTAAACTTGCAGTTCAGGATCATTCCTTTCAGCCACGACATGCGAATTCGGGCAAGGACTGCAATTGGCATGCAGGGGGGCCTTGGAGGCCACGACAGCCAGTTGAAACGCCGAGTGGAACGGATGTTGCCCCGTCTAAGGGAGTGTGATGTGAACGTCTGAACACCCACAGCCCTCACCCATTTGCATCCAAACTGCACGAATGACCACAACAAAGCCTGGCGCAGGAACCGAACAACCATTTCATGTGGCCATATCGCTTCTACATGCTTCTGCAATACAGCACACGTCAAGCCTATGGGCTGTAACAGTGAGCACGATCTAGAGGTAAACTATGGTAAAATCTGTTTACTGACTGTTACAGCTATTTGGCATGACTCAAACAATACAGCAGTTGTCGAACTTCACTTGACCGTCCATCGTGTTTCATACCGCTGTGAAAAGGGAACTGGCAGGCTTGGCATGCATCCAGCAGTTTAGCCAGCAACTTCGCCATGACCTTCAACCAAACCAACACAAATCTTGCAGCCCAGAGGGTGGGTCTCTACAGCCCCATGAACCAACGTTGCCGAGCCCCGGCACGCGTCCACGCTGCCCCCGGAGGGAAAGGATCGATCCAGACGTTCGCCGAACGGTTCGATGTCAACCAAGGTTCGCCTCCAACTGACTCCCTCAGTGAACCTGCATAAAGCTCAAGCTACTCAAGCTTCTTCTTGTTCAGTGGGGAAGCCAAGTCCCAAAAAACAGTTACAGGTTATGCCATGACTTGGTAGAGCGTCGTCTCTTCACGCCCCAGCTGCGCCTTCAAGCAGGTGGCCATCATTCGAATGAGCTTATGCAGCTCCCGGAAGCGCCGCGTGCGCGACACGATGCGCGTGAGCCGGACGATACGAATCAATCGCAGCGCACGGCTCAAGCCAATCTTGGAGATGTCCTGTCGGTGCCGTCGCGCGGAAGGGGTCATGGCCGGGCATGGTGGAATGAACATACAGGAACAAGAATAGAACAAGTGGGGGAGGACTGGACTTGGTAGCTTTGGCAGGTGTCCAACATTTGTTCGATCCAAAGATTAGAGAAACAAAGGTCACAATGGGCCCTGGATGGATGTGGAAGCTCCAAACATCATGATTAATTGACCTGCCGGATATTGAACCAAAAAAGGTGGCGGCGATACAGCAAGAGTCGCCGTTGTGGAGGGGAGGAATGGAGATGCCCAGAGTATGCCGCTGGCCTCCATGAAGGATACAACGGAGGCAACTGCAACTCAAAGATTGCAACTGAGACAGTAACACCCTCAAAAGCCACAAGGTGTCTCAAACTTCTTTTCATGCCATACTAGCGATGGTGCCGAGCAAAAGAAGTGGTCCACGTCCATGGCATCGCGAACTTCGATGCAATCTCCAGCGTCTGTCCTCTCCACTGCCCAAGGCTTGAAGGAGCTTCTCCAGGATGCCGCAAACTGACAGAAACACAGCGACAAAGAAAAGAAAATCATGCGCGAAACCCACCAGAACCCTCCAAGGGGTGTCTATTTATAGCCCCTTAGCTGTTAAGGGGTGCCTCTCTGAGCAATAGAAGCCTAGAGGGTCTTGGGAGCTTGATTTTTGGTGTGTCACTTGCGTCATCTTGCGTCGCGGGTGGGATGTCCCATATTGGCTTAGCTTCACCAATTCCAATCCGATTCAATCCTAAGCCTTAAGCGGAACCCTTTTTCGCTTCAAAGTGTCATGCAGGATCCCCAACTTCAAGCGGAGAAAAAAACACCAAACCCTGAGCAGCCGTTTTTTCAAAGACTCATGGGGCACCACTTGCAACTGCGAGCGTGCCCAAACCGTAAATCACGCTATGTTGACCGCCTTTTCAGAACATGTGTGCCTTTTCGCTAGGAGCAAGGACGCCGTTAGGTTGCATGGAGGCCATCGCTACAACGGTGGAGACCAGTACTACTAGTAACTAGGAAGCTACGAGTAGCTGGAAGCTATTAGGTTGGAGCCCATCGCTACTAGGTTGGAGGCCATTACTACTAGTAACAAGAAGCTACTAGTTGGAGGCCATCGCCCCAAAAAGCACTCTCAGGTCCTCTCAGCTCTGTCCAGTCCACCCCTCAAACCTCAGAACTATCGCCCTCCCGGCGAAGGGGTGAACGGAGGCTGTTTGGGGGACCAGCCATGTTCGCCTGCCCCACGCCACCACGGTCTCTGCGATCCCATCATGCCGGGTAGCCGATCACCACACAGTCCAGCTGAATCCCCATGGATCGAAACACTTGACACCCATCCTCGCACGAGCGGTCGCGCGGCGTCGCCAAGCGCGCCAAAGGACGGCCAGCATGGAGGAAAACAGGTCGGGGCCTTGAAGTCAGCGTTTCTGACCCGAGAAAATTACAAGTAAATGTGTTTGAATTGCACTTTTGGGAGGGCTGTGGAAACGAACATGTTGTTTGATGCTGTTTGAACATCTCGTTCCAACAAACCTAAGTTGACTCAACACAAAGGGCATGGTTGCTCAAAAGTCCATAAGAAAGCTGGCGCGGGTTAGAAAGTGGAGACCTTCCTTCTCTTTAGGTTGAAGTAGGCGAGAGTAGGGAGATCACTCTCCCAGGGCCCCGAGAAATATCACAGAAACTGCTAGAAACCAACACTGGGCTCTGGTGTGAAGAAAGTGTAAATACCTCTCCGCATCATCTTCCTGTCCATGTCACCCAAAACACAACCGGTAGAGTCAGAGTGGTAGCGTAAAACACGAACCCGGCAAAATGGAAGATCATGCTCTCCCTTTCAAGGCCCTCAAACTTAAAGCAGGTAAAGTGATCCAAGCAGAAAGATCACCTGATCCAGGAGGTTCCTGGTAAGAACTAGTCCCTGCCTTTTTCTCTGCAGCCTAGGCTCCACTTTTGCTCGAACATGGTGACCGGTTCGACCAGTGGACCACCCCCAAGTGCAGGACTGCTACCGTCCCTACTCCTTGTGATGCATACGGACCTCCAAAAAGGTGCAACGGGTCCATCGTTTCAACCGGACCTCCCTGCGGACCACGTCAATTCGGTTCGTTCGAAAGGTGCTTTTGCTTCGCTGAATTCACTTGGCCACTCGTCACTCATACCGTCATCCACCTTCAAAAAAAGAAACACGACAAGCATCCGAGAGGATGCGCGTCATCAACTCAATGGCATAGAGAGCTAGGCAAACATCTGACCTCGTTTAAACAAAGTAGTTTTCCATTGTGTGTGGAATTAGCCCCCAAAGACAAAACTGGACACCTTCAAAGTTAAGTTCACCCCCAAGAAATAGATTATACAACAAATACGGCGTGGTCTCTCACGGATGGAACATCAATGAATTTCTCACACAACTTCCCTACATTATGGCATCCCGGGAGGGGAAGCCTCTAGAAATTGCGCGAACAAACATGCAAAACTTCATGCAACATCTGCAGTGGGAAGGAATCCCAACACAGGATGGCGTGGAACCCTATTCAGTAGACACCTATATACCCCAATTCTCCCCCCTCATGTCTTAGCTGAATTCAGGGAAAAAGGACACATAGAGCTTGGGTCTATCCTACTAACAGGGCCCAGTGGTTACAGGTTTACTGGGACAAACCCAAGCTGGCCCAAGCAAAAGAGTCGCATGAAGACCCCCAAGCTTGTCGTCCGAAGACCTCCCCAAGGCCGGGAACCGGTCCGAAGGAAGGGCGCGATGGGGCGGCTTCCGGTGTTCCGCACCCGAACCGGGTGGTTCGCTCGGCCGCTTGGAGCAAGGGTCAGAGAACGCCTGATGGTTGTCCATGAAAAATCCCGGATTCGACCACTGTTTCGGTGGGGATCATGTTGACACAGGATATCCAGGCCCCCCCACCCCCTATGAATCAAGCCCGGCTGCGAGCCCCCCATACTCCCATACTATTTTAAAACCTGATGTCCATATGTCCATCACCCTAAATTTCCTTGGCATCAAAGCTCCCCCCTATTAATCAAGCCCAGCTGCCCGGCTTCCCCAGAAAAATACAACAATATAGTTCACACTATTATAGTTATATATTATAGAACATTATATATCTGTATTATTACTTTTTTTTTGTGGGGGGATGGGGGGACTAGTATTCATCCATCATTCATCATCCTCCTTCTTTCTCATCATATTTGTTCTTCTCATCCTTCCCTGATAAAACACAAAACAACTCGCTAGCAAAATTCGTTCATTCTCCCTTACTAAAACTCTATCAACATCTTAAAGCTTTCAAGCTCACAAAGGGGTACCCCTCACACAGGCCCTACCACCCTCTAATGGTAGGGGCCCCTTCCCCGATTACTCAAGCCCACCCTCTGGCCTCCATCTTCCATTTCTTTCATCCTGCAATCCTCTTTCTTTTCCTAATCATCCCAACCAAAGAAAGAATCTAGTCTTCCTTCTAAATCATCCCAATCATCCCAATCCCAATCTTGCGAAAATCTTGTCATCATCTCATCATCTATCATCAGGTCATCACCTTTATTAAGGGGATGCGGTCTCCAAATACCTCCAATCTCAAACCTTGTTGATCTTGTTGACCTTGAAGGGGGGGGGGGTCCGTCTATTAATCCGGTGTTGACATTACTCTCAAACCCGTTGAAGACTGGGTGGAGGCTCCCATGCCAAACAAAAGGTTCTTTTTTGCACCAAGCCAAAGCCAAGGAACAGGATGAGGGTGGCTAAGGGTGTAGATCTGTCATCGGCTCTGGCGTCGATGTCGTAGACAGCGCAGCAGGCATCGATGATCACCACAAGGACCATGAGGTTGTCAAGGCTGGCACCTGATGCAACTCGACACACATCGACCGACTCCCACGAGGCGATGCCCAGGTCTTCAAGTAGAGAATCCAAACGTCCGCGAAACCATTCTGATTATAAGTCTACACCTGGGATTCCAATGTCGATGTCTCCTCATGACATTGATTAATGTCGAAGTTAAACTTTGACTTTGAGGTGCGTTGATGTTTAACCAACACATAGTCATGTCCACTGTTTCAACAATATCCTTGAAGCTCGGGTCTTTTTCACTGCCTTCTGAGCTTTATGTTTGGAAGTCACCACTTTAGCGTCTTCATTCTCATCCGTGAGAGACCATAGAATTGAATCGGCATCTATGTAATTGCTGTATGCTATCAGGGGTTTGGACCCTCCGACGCCTGTTGTGTTTTTGATGTACGTTGGGAAGCCATTTGTGCTCAGCCTGGTGTGTGTGTGTGTGCGCGTTTTGTTTGCTTGGACTCCATTCGGTTGCCACGTTTGCTGCCAACGAAAGGGGCGCGAGGAACGATGATTGCGCTGATCCGCAGTACCGGGCCGCGCGTACTGAACACATGTTATGTTGAGGCGATGGTGCTGGTTATGCTGTATGCATGAGTGGATCTATAGCGCAAGGTACCCAAACATGCAGCCTCTTCAAATATATACCCACTTGATTTGATTGACTCTGGGACCAAGGCCAAAAAAAAACAAACCTCCAAAAACACCAGTCGGGGTTGTCTCAAATCCCAAATACCTTTCCCCACAACAACTCCGAAGCTTTGGGCCCCTAGCACGCCTTTTGACCGCATCCAGTTTTTGTGGTCTCTGATGTCATGTGTTTGGTCGCGCGCGCATCCACTGCATCAACGCCTCGTATCCAAACCTTGGGCCTGCTCCCACCTCGGCCACTCTACGGTCAATACCCAGACACGACTGCCATAGGACTGCCGCCCGGACCCCTCTGGCACCACCTCTGGCCTTTTCTCGGCAGTCCGGACTGGCAGTCCCAAACGGGTCGTGTCTGGGATAAAACATGCTACAAACTTCTCGCCTGACGACACCCCCCCACTTGACAGTCGACTCTGCCAGCTGAAGCCCCAGAGTCATACGAGTCCTACACATTGCGTTTGTTCCCTAACCCTCAATCAGCTCCTCAGAAAGGTATCAACAAAGGTTGAAGAACCCTAGTTCGACTATCCCATAGGTACCACAGGTTACAGTAGAGTCCTATTTACGATCACTTCACCTTTGTTGGTACTTGGGCTTCGTCATCAGTGCGTCACGCTCCGGGTTTCTTCGGCCACGTGGCGCGTCCAAATCCGGATCATGGGCTCCTCGCGGCGTGTCCAACGTCCAAAACAACCCCCCCCGGTCCAGGACCGGGAGACGAGTCATGGAACTCGTCCCTGGCAGAGATACCACGGATCACCACACAAGCGTGGGCCAAAAAGAACCAAACACCGATCCGCGAGAACGGACGCCATTCACCATTCTATACAAGTACAATCCCTTCCATTGGATTCCCAAAAAAAATATCGAAAAATGACGGACAGACCGACAGCCAGTACGAACTGGGACCGTTTTTTGTCGGCCTTGAAAGAAGCAACAGAACTGGGATGTTTATTTCCTCCATATCAAGGGACCCGTCCGTTCAGAGGTGCCAATTGGCGGCTAGCTGCCAATTGGTGTGTATGAACCACCCCTAATGTAGACGTAGACTCTTGATGAATGACTCGTTTTAGTGGTCATCCTCTTCATATAGGAGGCTTATTCGTCAAGAGTCTACATTAAGGGATGTCTATGACCCACCCCTAGACAAAGCATTCCAACAACCACCCCATAAACCGGGATCTCCAAGCACACTTGAACATGGCTGCGGTCTCCAAACACCTGGGGGCCATCCTCTCAGGCGCGGTCACCGTCCGACCGAAGCCGCTCCTGGTGAACATCTTGGGAGCTGCTAATGAACTTTGCCGCGACCCTCATGTTCGGAGCGGCACCTGGCTTTTCACATACGACGTGCGTTTTTTTTTTACACGGGCACCACCGAAGATGACACGAGCCCGTCGTAGAAGGAGGTGACACACCAGGTGGCCTTTTGATTTATGTCTTCTTGACGAGCATTGAACACCATGGTAGCTCCAGTAGCTATAGCTTTGAGTTGGGTCACTCCGTGGCACAACCATGATCAAGTTCATCTGTACCACAACCAGGCTTGTTGATAGATGTTGGATCGATTTTGGAAATCAAAAAGCAATAAAAAAAATGATATAAACCAGGAGTCACAACGGGGTGGTGTTTAGTCCCATCCAGTGAGTGGATACTGGGCACCCCTAACCTCCATGGATCGCACCCCTTACCTTGTGACTGCTGGACATGTATGATCATGTCCGTTCCTTCTTCCTTCATCAGCTTCACCTCAAATCGAAGCCTAGACGGTCAGCGCCCGTCCGCCTCATCTGAGACGCTCGCTCGCCTCATCCCCGAACCGCGCCTCGTCGCCCAGCCGAATCGACGCTGCAATGACTGCTGCGCGTCGCCACCGTCACCGGGGTGTCGTCCCCCGAGGGATTCATCGCTGCGACTGGGGCAGACTGGGCGGCACTGGGGCAGACGGCAGACTGGGTGCCCAGTCTGAGTGGTCTCGGCCTAAGAATTCATCCTTGTTCCATTTTTTGAGTTGTTGTGTCTTCTCTTTTTTCGTGGTGATTTGATGCTGATTCCAGACCTGGAATAGAAAAGATGTTTCTGATACGCCGGCATTCAAGAATGCTTTGTGCTTTGTTGCTTGATGTTGGCTTGCTCAAGTGCATCCAACAAAGCTAGGTGCCCTTGTAGTACATCCTGGCTGTTGCTGATCCATCGGTCGGCCCCGCCAGATGGGGCGGAGCCTCCCCTGGGTTCGATCTATAACTGGCGACGCAAGCGACCCATGAACATGGTGGGGGAGAAGAATCACAACAATTGCCTACTGAAAGCAAACAGAGGGATCAAAATGATCAAGTGGAGTGGCATCAATTTCTTCATTACACCACCCTTTTCATCCTTTTTTTCACCCGTAACAAACCCAAAAAGGCATGGTCTGCCAGGAGCAAAGCATGACACTCCACGGCACGTTGCCAAACAAAAACACAGAAATACAATCAAATACACGGAATGGGACACACGTCTGGCCCACCTTCATTGCCAAAACAGAAAAAACAAATGTCTGAGTTAGCTAAGATCCTTCATCGCACTACCAAAAACCTCCGCTGGCAAGCACGTGATTTAACAAAGCATGCATTGCATCGTGGCAGGGTGGCATCGAACACATCTCAGAAGGGTTTGGCATCGAACACATCTCGTGTGTCACAATCCGTAGTGTTGGCTGAATCCACGGCTCAGACCCCGAAAAGGAGGATGGTTATATACTGACCGGAAGTCGCTCCGACGCATCAAATGGTGTTTTTTTCCGCATCTTTGCATCTTGGGGCAGGTTCTGGGACTTTTCTGAGGGAGATTTACTTTTCTCCCATTTCGAAGGGGGTGCCGCGGTCATTGCAGAGGCAAGAGAGGTTGAGAGAACCGTTGAGAGGTTGAGACGCAGATTTTTCCCATAGGAAAGTGACTAAACATTTGCAATGTGCGGTTCAACCAGGGGCTGTTCAAGCTCTCTTGGAGGTCGGTATCTCGATGCCTTTCAGACCATCCTTGTCGGACAACTTGGAAGCAACATGGCGCTGTATAGCAGAGTCGGACTATTGACATACCACGACCTCAGAAAATGGTTCTGTTGACAGATCAAATTCCGCAACTAAGCCTCCCAAAAGTGTGTCAAAGCTACATCTAAGATCGATATCTCACAGCCAAACCAGCTCTGTTCTTGGAGGCCCAAGAAGGGCAAGTTGTTGATTCACGCTCGCAGCCTGTGCCCCAACAACCTTTAACATCCCTAAATCCATAGCTCAGTGATGCTCAGTTCTTTCACTGGCAACTTGTTGGGTATTCCTGGTCCAATTGTTAGATGTTATCACGTTGCTCCGGTCTTTTGCCGTCGTGCGGCGCCGCAGAAGACGTGATGAGCAGATGCGGCTTTTCACATGTTCGATACATACCAAACAAACATGCGACGTAGATGCCTTTTTTTGCCTTCTGCCACCAAGATGTCAACGAACTGTGTCCTCCCAAGGGACGCCGGAGGAAAACCAGCTTTTGAAAGGAATCTGAGTCCTGCATCACCTCTTCCCCCCCAAAAAATAAGTCTGGTTGTTCTGTGAAGTTCCAACACCGTGTGACACGCAAATGAACTCCGAAGTCTTTCAGTGTTCTTTGTATGTCCTTGTCAGTCTTGTCATCTATGAGGGGAGGCTTAATTTAAGACCTTTCTGCTTTGTGATTGTTCAAGATGCAACTGGACAAAGAGGGTTTGGTCTGCCCACCCTCATTCTTCCGCCCCCCTTGGGAGAAGCTAGCAGCAGCACAGCGGGACCATTGGCCAGCGTTCCAGGGATGCAGCAAGGCGCCGTGTGTGACATGGCCAAAACATGCCAAAACTATCATTATATAACTGCTTCCGCAAAGACATCTATCCAGCACCTTCAATTCCACGCCAAAAGGCATAACATACGCCATCAAAAATGTCCTTTCCTGCGAGTGTTTTTGGGGTTGAAGATCCAAATGCGATGCCGGCTGAGAATCAGCTTGCATGTCCATCACACACGCCTCTTATTAGTGTTGTGGGAGGTCGTTCTTGTGATGTCTGTGTTTCTTTAAGCCAGCCTTTTGGCACTGCATGGGCCAAGTGCATGTCCGTTTGGGCCGACGTGAGGTGGGAACCGCACCCTGCGAGTCACAAAGCTGGTCTAAAGGTTTGAGGGTCATCAGGGTCTACTCTTCAGCTCTTGTAGACTCTTGATGAAGAAGCCCAGAGAAAAGCCACCCACATGTTAAAGCCTCTTCGAACCGACACACGCTACCAGCAGTCACATGTCGGGGTGCTTAATCCAGGTTAGGGGTGCCCATTA